CTTAGCGATTGAGTGGCCTGAGTCCCCAAAACACTATGTAAAAATAATGCACTTGAAATAATATATAGTTGAACTTTTTTCTTGAAGTACCATTATCTGTGGTAAACAAAAAAACATTTACAAATGTTGTCAATATAAATATTAATAGTATTTAAATGACTAGATTTTTTCTTTTGATAAACAAATATCTATTTAACTGTTAATGGTATTCAGATGTTCAGAACACGTTATGTTTATAATTTAGATCAACTGTAATTTTATAAGTAAATATATTTTATTATATTATGTATTTGACATAAAAGTATAATTTATATCATAAGAAATTTAGTAGGCGTATTATAACATAAAAAAAATTGACGTCATGTTATCAAACATACAGTATATTTTATACGTCATCCGACACATTATTTAAAAATAAAAAAATAATATATTTTTACTTATATGGATATTTCTTAAACGCAATTAACTTGCCGATAATTCGATACTAAAAAAAAGTACCTATTATAAAATTTAATAACAATTTTAAAATACGAGTACCTAAGACACATTTTTTTCAATCCATACGAATTATTAACATTCATATTATTGTTTTTTATACTTAAACTTTATTAAAGAATAGGTAATTATCACTTTTTTAGTTCCAGCGAATACTACCTATATTTATAAAATATTTATATGCGGAAGTTCGGTTGTATATTTAGGTACTGATTGAATACCTAAATATAAATTGTCTAATAGGTACCTATATTTACTATATATTTTATAACCTTATATAAGCTTTTGGTATTACTATATTGATGTTTATTAATTATAATTTAAATCGGTGGTTGTTCACATGAGCTAATACAATTCTAGATTGCCATATGAGAGGAAAAAACTCTAAACTGATAATATAATATTATATTAGTACCTGAATCATATCCATGGTTATTTACTATTAGTAGATATCCGTGATCATATATTAAACCAGTTAACCTTTATAATATTATATAAAGTATGTTATATAATCGTATAATTTTAATTAATGAATTATCAATTTTTAGTATGTTTTGGACTGACGGTTTTATCCGTTTACGGTGGAGTACCGGCAGACGATGTCGTATTTCCCGAATCACTGAGTTCACGATATCAACATTCATCGTGGAACTTCGATAATGAAAGATCGCCACCCAGAAGAACTATAAGACAAGGAAACCGTCGTCCAAGACCACCTATGCCTAACGAGGAAGATCCATTTGCTGGGCTTGAACCCCAAGGTAACAACCGACCATCTGTTGGAAACCAAGGCCAATGGTCCAATCAAAGACCTAACCAACAACCTGGTAATCAAAACCAATGGGGTACCACCGGTAATAATCAGGGTCAAAACCAATGGGGTACGAACGGTAATAATCAGGGTCAAAACCTGCAATGGGGTACCAACGGTAATAATCAGGGTCAAAACCAATGGGGTACCAACGGTAATAATCAAGGACAAAGCAATCAAGGTAACAGACCACCTACACAACAGAACACCAATCAAGGTAACAGGCCACCTACACAACCGAACACCAATCAAGGTAACAGACCAACTACACAACCGACCACCAATCAAAATCCAGTGCAAACCAGCACGACTTCGTCGAACAGTGAAGAGGCAAGTGAAGAACAGAGAAACGCATGCAATGCTACCTGCAGAGAAAGGATTACAAACGAATACAATCCCGTCTGTGGGAGTGATTCTCAAACATACCAAAACAGAAGATTTTTGGATTGTGTCGCCAACTGCGGTATAAGTAAGTTTTATTCTTTTGTTTGTAACTCGATCAATCAAACCAACTTACCATAATATTTATTATTTTATTATACATGCTGTTGATGGAAACTGTATATTATCAATTGTTTATTTATTTTACAGAAGTGTGGTATTTTGTGGTAGGCGTGTACAGTATACACTATATAATATTAATATCGTATTATACTTTCGGTTTACTTCAAATTTTTTTTGGGATTCAATTAATAGTTAAACATAAACCATTGTAGTAATGTATAAACCATTCTCGGGGATTCCTTAAAATTGAAATCCCTATTGTTTTCAATTATTCATTCGTAATACGTTTCATTTGTAACTCTGATAGACGATTTTCTGAAAAAAATTCCGAACTGCATTTAATTACATCTACATTAATTTATTTCTCGGAAAGTTTATATTATATTTGTTTATTTATTTGAACTAAATGCATGTGATTATTATTATAGGTACACGATTCACACTATAATACTTACTAACGTAAATAATTAATAATATACAAGATATCATGTCTGATACGTGTAGTTAAATAATGTCATTACGCCATAAGTAATATTATTACGTTTGTTTTGTTTTACAGTCACCGAATTCAGCTACATCGGCACTTGCGTCACGACGACCCAACGCATTACTCGCGCATGATGAAATTTCAAAATTTTGCGACTGCTTCTGATACGAATAGATAAACGATTGATTTTTATATAAATATGTATTTTTTCACCGCCGAATAACACAGCACAAATTATTGTGTTTTAATGTTATATTGTATTTTAAGATTATTTATGTATGGTTGACGTAATACAATAATATTATATTGCATCTCATTATACGATAAGTACTGTTGTACTCACAATAATAAATTATTTAGTACTTATACGTACGTGATAAGTCACCTGCAATTGTTTTTAAAGCGACCGAGTTTTTGTAAGAAAAATTTGAACGTAAATAATAATTTAATTGTGTTAAACGAAGAATATTGGACGGATCACGACGACGAGAGTCTGGAAATTCGTATAATAGTGCGGCGGTGTTGGCGGTCTGAAGAGCAGTTTAGAAGCGGTCGTGCAAAGTAAATTCAACAACAATGGTCGTGTAATAGGTTAAATTATATTCCCAATGCAATATAGGGTCGGCCGACGGCGACAACAATGACACCAGTGTAATTCGTTTAACTCGGTTTCCTCCGAACCAATCTTTGAACTTCAGATTTTTTTTCTTATCAAGGTCTTCTGTATTCCACCTCATCTCTCTCAAAGTTCAACGATACATAACATTATTCAAACGTGTGTACGCAAAACCGTGCCGATCACTCACACTACACCTAGGACGGCTAGGACCCACTTTACCAATCCCGAATTTCCTATGTGGGTGTATCGATGACGATCTGAGGTTTCAGGTCGCGCCACGTGGCCCATTTCGCCCCGCATAACCACATGGGAGACATATGAAAGCCAGCGCTGTATGAGCAAATTTATACCTATTGCATGACATACTATGATAAGGTGGTTGGCAGGTCAATTTACGCGTCATATTTTATAAGCACTAAGGGGACCGCTAAAAGAAAAATAATATTTTTGTTCGTATTTTATTTTATAACAAACATAATATTATAATATTATAATGTTTTCACATTATAGAATACTTCAGAATATGTATTATTATTGTCGTTGTTAGTCGGCAATATGAGTATAATATGGACTGACTGACACTACGCCATCTCCCACCGCCTTATTTTTTTTTTAAATCACACTTATAAATACTAATGCCCTTATGCATAGTCAATTCATGTGTCACACAAGACATGTTAAACTACCTATGTCTTATGTACTGACACATGAATAGACTATACAGACGGACATATTATAATTATTGAATATATTATGTACTACCTACATAATATTATATTATATTCTAAGGAGGGCCGAAAAAAAAGGCTTTGAGGACCGCGGGTCGGAACACCCTGACGTATGATATTTAAGTAAAAATGTGCCGGAATATTGTGTAACCGAGCAGAATTCCCTGTCCCTGTCCCTCACCTCAAGTAGGTTAATGCGTTCACCCCCTATATGAAAACAACACAACTGCAACACTATCATACTGTATACTTGTTGTCATGTTGTACATCCTACATTATTATTTTTTTATATGATATCAAAGCAATTAAATTGGCAGTATAATAATATTGACCATTTATTTTTATTTTTATAAAGTTGAGAATTTTTGTTTTTATAAATGTAAATAGGTAATTGTTAGTGAAAGCATTATCTTGCCTTAACTGGGTACTATACTACTATATTACTATACAAGCTACACTGCTGCTGCAGGAGCTGTACAGATTTATTTGATGTACATTTATTTTAAGTTTGGTCGGAATTGTATCGATTCCAAACCAGAGTGTTTCCAATAAAGAAAATGGAGTGGAGTACAAAAACGAAAATATGACTGATTGCTAATAAGTTATTCATAATAATCTCCATTCTATTCGATGTTCCAATAATAACTTTACTGTATTATATTTAAAATGTTGTACTTCTGTGAGTCGCCTGATACTATAATAGTATTAAGCACCTTTACTGTGAAAAAAATCCTAATTCACTTACAAAGTTTCTATAAAAACGAGCATTGCTTGTAACCGATCCACGCTCCAATGCATTTTATTCGAGTCGAACGTATTGTTAATATTGTTTTCGAACAAAGACTCCTCGACGACGTCGTGATGTACGCATACGGAACGCGTCTCGGACGATAAATTTATTGGCATAACCTTGCTACGGGTCAAAGTCATTTTTAACGAAGCGCGCCACAATATTCACATCGTGACGAACACAAATCATTTCCAAAACGCATTTGCCTAGTAGACAGACGAATGAGATAAAAAAAAAAAAAACACAAACACACACAAAGCACATCCTTTGTATATAAACATAATAATGTGTATGCATTGCAGTTTTGTTACATAATTGATGGACAGCAGCCACGGCGGCGGTGGAGGGACGACCAATTATATTGTAGCGGCAAGTACGATATAGGTATGACCTTTCTCACGTCGGTCGGTCAACAGGAAAAATAAAATAAAATAATACATTTATGGGTAGGAGAACCGTCTATATAAGAGAGCTGCACTACGTCGTCCGGCGAACAAAACGTTTGGTCCCGCTAAGTGCACGATAATCATAGACAAGACGTATAAACAACGCAAAACGCATACATCATGAAATCCTTAACGCTAGTCTTGTTAGTAGGTAAGTCGATATTATTTGTATTATTATTATTATCAACAATAGTATAGTTACCTATTGTATATTAACTAGACAGCTAGAAATGAGAAATTTCACTCAAAAATGCTTAATATTGCACATATAGGGTATAAAACGTTTTCGTGTTAAATTGATTTAAATTTTAAATTTACAACTACAAATTACAATATAATAATATAGTACAATAAGTTGTTCACACGTGTAACTTTCAACGGGTTATAAACTCTTGGGAAAAAAATACAAAAAAAAAAAAAACATTTATACCCTACTCAGTGTGTGTGAGTGATGTAAAAAGTTTTCGGCATGTTAAAAGAACTTCAACGTGTTAGATTACATTTTTTTGACAGCGCGATATTATGTATTTTAATTTCAACACATTCAGCTGCGTTAAGTTCTGAAAACATTGAAAACAATACAGGGGAATTAATCTAGATATTTCGGTATGAAAGTATCCTGATTTATAAAATAGTGTTCAATCCGTCCATTATAGGCAGCTAAATGTGTATTATTTATATCTTATACCTATGTTTTGGTCTATATAGCGAGACATATTAAATTAAAAAATATTTCGACTTTGAACTATGACTATAATTGTTTATAAGGTCTCTTTATAACATAATAATTATAATATTATATAGGACCTGGTGACTACAATAACACACTAACACAGTACATATTATACTATCAGTTATTTCATTGCTCCGTTTATGTTTTGACTCTGAGCCTTATTTAATTTTAAATTATAAATGTCAGCGGTTTTTTTTAATAGTTTTCTTAATATCTTAAGATAATACCTGTGTTTAAGATCATGGTTGTAAGTACCCACCTACGGGGCTACGTTCCTTAATATCAAATTTAATTACTTTTGGCTTTAAACCCACGACGAACAACAAAAGTCTGTATAATTAAATTAAACAAATACAATTAATTTACCAAAATGATTTACAATCATATAGTAAGTACTAAATCATATTAAACACGTTTATAGCTCGTACATTTAGCATATAAAAATAGAGTTTCATTTATCACTAAAAATTAACACATAATTAGAAATAACTTTTTAATAAATAATATACATTTTTTTGTCCGGTTTTCTTTTTAAACTTTATGTTTTGCTCAATGTGTGACTTATGACCTAAGATATTATTTTTACGATCACCCAGTGGTTGTGCATAATATATTGTGATAACCCACGCTGTGCGACGAGCAATTTTTACCCATGGAAGCGGGGTGGCGAGGCGTGGAGTAAATACATATTATACTGTTTATGCTCTACTATATCGTTGTAAAGTTACTTTTATCTTATCTCTTTGAATTATAATTGGGTCATAATTATAATTGAATAAAATAGATAATAGAAAATAGTTTTCTCCTGCTAGCTAATTTAATATTATTTATTGTAGATGAAGGAATTATTTTAATTTTTCTGGAGGAGCGAACCAAATAAATTTGAGGAGCCAATGAACACTATTTTTTCAATAATTCCCAACCATATTGTTATACTCAATAAATCTGCTATTAAAAGAAAATATCAACTAAAGGCAATGACTTACACTCTTCTTTAGGAGAACTTTTTTTTCCCCAATATCATTTTAAATAGTTTATTGTTAGACGACAGGCGTGTTCAAAAATAATTTCGAGTCTAAAGACTCTAAACCAGTACATCACTTTCGCATCTTATTATTTTATAGTCTCAAGCTCAGATAGTATCAGTTTGATAAAAAATGAAAAATAAAATGAGTAACTCAAGTTAATAATAAAAACGAAACTTCATAGCAAACAAATCATTTTTTTCGAAACCAAGTGTTTGAAATTTTATAATTTACTTCACTTTTTACGAGAGATAAGAGAATCATGCTCTATCACAATATGCTGGTATTAACTATTAACTCAAAAGTGACAAAAATTGAGTATCTTCCTTCTTCACTGAATAATAATATATTAAAATCATATTTGAAAGTAACGCAATAGTGATGAAAATACAAAATAATATATCGGTATACGACGAGTATCGTTGTACATGACATCTTATACTAATTTTAACCTTTTTCCTAGGTAGCGACAATGACAGGACTACACGAGTCGATATTCGATCAAACAATTTAATAAACGCGGCCCCGCTATGCTATATTTTATTTTATCTTATATTACCAATGTGAAACTCTGCAGTGTTTTTATTATCACAATACATAATATTACTTTATTATTATTTTCTATTAATGCTATCCCATCTTTTCATAACACTCGTTAATCCAGATAGTAAATATGGTTTTTCAATCCAGTTTTAGTCTAAATAAAATAACAACTTCAATTGTTTTGACCTAGAACAATTTTATTTTCTTGACATTTTAGTGAAGCGAATTCATTTCTTTTCAATTCCAGTAATTATTATAATTTCCTTACTAATGTTTCTCTAAATACAATCTCTTCTTATTGGTAATAAAATGATGTTTTGAAATTTTTCCAGTCATAGTTTCACAGTTATAATGTATCATAATGTTTTTGAAAGACTTTTTCACTTTTTCACAATTGTTCTCTAAACTGAAAAAAAAAACCATAATTGTCTTGTACCTATATCAATTGTTTAATGGTTCCAGCTCCATGACAGCTATTCATAAAATGTAAGTGGTTACATAATGTCATAATAACATAATGCATAATGTGGTTGTATAGTGCATTATTTCCTTAAAGTTAGGTTCCGGATATAAACATGTATTTATACGTGACACAAAGTGTCTTAGAAAAATACAAAATTCTAAAGAAACTCCAATAATTTAAAGTCAATAGCAATTTAAACGTCCAGTATTTTTATTTTATTTCTTTTATAACATTAAAAGCATGTCTTATACTCTCTCCCACAGCAATCATCGGAAAAGACTTATCGATAAACCTCGCACAAATAACGTCGTAGTACAGCTTAACCGGGCAGTGATCATAAATATATATTGATCCAATGTCGACAGTTAGTTTCCCAATAGTGTACTAACGCTGTAAACTAAAAAATCTTAAGAAACATTTGAACCACGAACACTTTACACTTTACAGAAACCCACCCATTGGTAAAAATTGGTAAACACACACACACACACACACACACACATTTAAAACTAATTACCTATCTATTTAATAATGATACAAAAAATAACAACGGTTATCTGCATAATATAATACTGTGTAGGTCTGACCGTGGCGTTGGTGTCAGTCAATGGCAGTCCAGCCGGCGACAAGAAGATAAGCACTAGTCACAAGATGAAGACGACCAGCACGACGACCACTCTGTCGCCAGCCCGTAAATGCAAGTCCGAGTGCCCGAACGATTACAACCCGATTTGCGGATCCGACGGGGCCAAAGTGAACTTGAGCTTCGGCAACAAGTGCGTCATGGAGAAATACAACTGCGAGCACAACGCCAGTGAGTATAGAGGACAATCAGTCGACGATGTTAATGGACTATAATATATTATTATGTTATGTACTTCAGCCCCCACATAGGTACCTATAATGGTCGGCAAAAGCTTAGTGCGAAATCGGGCCCGAAAACCGTTGTGCACCGTGGCCTAAACACTCAATAAACACCTCGTTAACGCAAAAAGTGAACAAAAACCTGGTTTTCAATTATAGGCTCTCCCACAGATCGCGGAAACAGTAATTTCACACAGAGCAAAATACCATTTGTTACGTCCCATCAATTTTTTTTTTTTTTTTTTATTTCTCCTCTCCACCCTGGGCATCGATCGATTTCAATTCGTCACGGCACCCTTCAACGATAACCATCGAGTTGAGCCCGCAAAGCTAAAACACTCGAATTCCAAACCTCATATCATATTATATAGGTATGTACCTACGTAAAACAGCAAAACTAATGCTGTCGTGTGAATATTGCATTATTATATGTCCGGGGAAAATCCACTATATAGCGTGCTCGTCAATCGTCATGCGATTCGACGCAGACAAAAAAAGAATGAAACGCGTGAGCCCGTTTATTGCAGTATTTTATATTGCATAATATATTATAGGCACATTGTTCGGTTGTGAATAAAAATCTGAAATCAAAAAAAAACGAACTAATCATTGCATATATTATGACAATGCGTGTTTGAATTGTTCATCCACCTTACCTAACATTAAACATTTTCCAGAATGACTTTTAGCTATTTTATTCGTATTTTTATTTTTATATTTTTCAATTTGATTTGAACTACTTTGTGAAGAGTTTTTTTAATTAATAAAAAAAATCGTTGGTACTACAACCCATAAGACGTAACGATTATTATTGTGAAGACTCCATGCTTTGTTCTCGAAATAATTAAATCACATTGACAAAAAACGAGAGTGTGTGAACGAACCCACCATTACACTCTGGGGAAGGAAAACTTCTTCATAAGTATTGGGGCCGGTGAAATTATAAGTGAATTAGGAAGAGAGTGATAAAAATCAATACAATAAAAATAAACGTGCCCGCTGCCGCCGTGCATGACTTGCAAAATAAATAAATAAACAAACGTGTCTTTTCATTTTTCGTTAGGATTTTTTTCCTACCCATAGGTACCTCGAGAAAGAATTTTTACTTCAAAAATATTTACCAATACGTCGTATATTATAATAATATAATATAAGCATGTCTTCGAATCTTGAGTGCTACGTTACAACTATACATAATATTTGATTTCTGTCCGTTGTCCACTCGCCGAATACTTTGGCAACCCAACAATATTCTACTCAGTTAATAATATTATTGTCGTTCCGTATCGCGAGTGTGTGTGTAATAATTTCTTGTATTAATAATCGTTATCTGGAAAGGCGCACGAATCGTAATTGCACCGATTAGTTAAAGTGTTACGTTTGTATATATAATAATATAATGAAACCAATTAAAACGAACTTCTTCGGAGAGAAGACGAATCGTCTCGGTTAATCCGTCTCGATGAACCGCCCCCGAGGAGACGGCATACCTACGTTTTTAGAGTTCTCCAACATAATAATAATATAGGTTCGAAAAATTGTGTGATATTATTATTACTATTATGACATCGTGTAGTTAATATACCTTATTACCTTAATATAACGCGTACTTAATATAATAATATCGTAGACCACCCCGATGTTAATTTATATAATACAAATCAACCTCCTCATCGTCACCTTTTGCTTTTGAAGTATTTTGAGCATATTTAATTTCAGTGTTTAGGTACCGTAAGCCTATAATTTCAGTAATTAGGTACCAGTAACCTAATATATAATAATAAACGGGTAGGTATATCTCTTAGGTATAAAAGCGAAAAAAAATGAATTGTTGTACGCCCTTTTCAGCTCTGTTATCATTATCGTTTTTATCTTTCAACCGATATGAATCCACATGTGGTCATAAAAAAGTACACCCGGGCACGGATATTATACAACTAAACGGCGATACTCTAGGGCGTCATAATATAATATTGTGATGTATACCTACTCAGTTAAATGTTCAGTCGGTCCCTGTAGACACGAGTCCGTTTCGGTTGGCTTTATACCTATATGCCACGCCCGTTTCATCCCAGGACGCTTTATTTGTTTTCATCCGACTTGCCGAGATGCGTCCCTGCCAAACATTAAGTCTGTATTTGTGTGCAAGAGTGAGATTGATATATTTACATCAGATATAATAGTAGCGTACAGTTAAATATATTATTATTATTATATTAACGTTGCATCATCAACCTGCGCTTTGGGAAAGTTGTTCAAAAGCAGTAGGGTCTGCTATTTTAAGGTAATACGGGACCATATCACGGTAAGTTTGTCAGTTCTCTTTAAAATGGATCTCTACAAGATGCCTCTCAAATCTCAATTTTTTAGAAATATTCTCTTTGGGATTTTCTTCATACATATTTTACATTAAATCAGCTTAGTTTTTCTATATCTAATTACACTCTTACTACTGTGATCTACCCCGTATTCACATACCCAGAGCTTATACGTCCTGAAAAACTAAATTTTTATATTTTATACCCACGTATGTATCCTTTTACTTCTGTTTAGCGGGTATTTAGCTGTATTATATTTCTTTACTAGTTAATAGTTAACCTGCAGTTAATGCGTTAATGTGTTGTTTTGCTTTAATATTCCAATAAATAAATAAATATTAACAGACGGTGGTTTTCTGGTCATTTTTCGAGAAATTGCACTCTCGATCCTCACCCATGTCTTTTGATCTAATAACATTTTTAAAAAAACCTCAGTCTGAATCCTTGAAGTCATTGAACAATTTCATCACACCACTACGTCACATATTAATTATTCATCACATAATATTTAGCTTATTTTATGTATGAATACAAATTCTAAATGTGCTAACTGTAGGTACTTACTAAAAAATATTAAAACTTTCATAAATTGTAACTAATAATCATTTATTGCGTCCAAAATATTTAATTTGTATTTTTAAACAACAGAGTATAAAATAATGTTTTTTTTCTCGTAGAACAATGACTGCTCTATAAACATAGATCGATGGTGTAAAGCGTCATCTGATAATTTATATAGGTTTAACAAAAGCATTGTGTTAATTTAGTCGTTACACATTTATATAAATAGACTCACTGGAGACCATTCGGGTTAGTTCAAAGTTTTCTTAGAAGGACTCTGGTTAATTTGGGTGCAAATCTTGCATGATCTACACTAATTTTACACAACGAAACGCAACTCGACATATTGTGCACAGAGTACAATTATAATATGGTAGTTGGATTTTTTTGTCGGAAAATTATATTCAGTCTTCATCAGCCACTGCTAATACGAATACATGGTAGTTTGATGGTGGTATTTGTTGGAAAATTATTAGCCATTATTCATAATATAAAATGGCTATGAAATATAGTCATTTATATACCTCTATCTATTCCGTAAAAACCGTTTTGTAACAACTGTAATAAAATAATACCTAATAAGCACAACGTTGAAATGGAGTATACTTTTATTTATTTTCTGATCCTAGAAACTATATTAGGTCTGACAAACCTTTCTTTTTTTCGTCTAATATATTTATACACTTACATATTTTATTTATTGCGAGACTACGAGTCACTGAACCGCAAGACTTTATGTTCAACACATAGGTACCTCATCTTTGTCAGGGATAAAATCAAATACGTTTTCAACTTAATAAAAACTTATTTCTTTATGAGGCACGTTATTTTCACTTAAGTCTCAAATGGAATACATACAAAACTATATTCGATAGTTACTTGCGATATTATGTTTTTTATGATTATTTTCGAAAAATAGTTTAATTATGTGACTTGTTTATAAAAAAGTATGAGCGGAAATTTGACTATACCTACCTATACATTCATTATAATATACAAGGATGTGTTTACACAGAATTTATTCTGTGGTATTTGTATTATTAATTTATAACTTTTTGTTAATTTATTTACCATCTATATCAATACCATCCAACCCTTTATTGCCAATAAGTAGTCAATGTATATAACATAAATACGTATACGATGGGTATTTTAACTATTATATACTTATATTAAAATCTTACGAACAATTAATTTTTATTGCAGAATCGTTTAAAGAACTCTAAAACATTTAGGGTATCTAGATATTTCATAAATTTTCACTAATAATCAAAAACCCAAAACATATACTAATTCAAATTTTGGTTTTAGAGTCTCTGCTATATTTAAAATAATATTAACCCTGATATTTATTTGACTATCTAAAAACAAACATACAAATGCTAGACGTCTTAAAATTAAGTACCTACGTAATGACGTATATACAGATAATGTATAATTTGTACCATATTGTGGTATTTAATTTAATGCGATTTTCTGGAAAACTATGTAACTATTTATATGCAACGAGTGTGATGTATACACTTTATACAAAGTAAATGGTCAAAATGATTAGTCAAATGATCGAAATTGAAATGGCAACGGTCTGTGTGACCTATCTTATCAACTTTTTTTTATTTACCAATAAAACTTTGTACCTATACATATATTATTATTTATAATTATTATGCAAAATTGAATTTACAAATAAAAAAAAACCAAAAACCATATTTTCGAGTAGCTAAAGTTGGCAATAATAAATTGCCTGAGAAAAAACTATATTATAATTTAAGGAATCATTCTATAATACTTATTCAATTTCTTTTGTAATTCAGTAAAAAATATGCATACCTAACGAATAAGTTTTTAAAAGTTTGAACTCATATTAAACAGTGGATTTAAATAATCAGTGACAGGAAGATTTAGTATTTTCTTATAACTTTAATGATTAAACTTCTAGGTTCATCAGAACTTTCAATAAGTTGTATTTATTAAAAATCGATGTGTTTTTATTAGAAATGGCCAGCAAAATAAAACGTGTGTGTATTGTTTCGTTTTGGAGCCATCAGTAGAGCTGTTTCGTCCGTGCCAATTATATTAAATAACATACGTAATTGCGTAGATGTAGTTTATAAGCTACCACACTAGACAAAAGAAAAATATTAGTTATTCTCTGTATATTCACAGTACAATTCGGTGGAATTATTAATGCTTAAAGTTTAAACGACGGTCATTTTACCGCATAATAGATTTCATCACTTTAAATTTTAAAGTTAAAACCTTTTGGTACAGTTAAGACAGTGTAACCGAGTCTAACCTCTCGATTGATATTCCACCAAATGTTATGTTATTATAGCGTTAGACCGATAAAACTATTGAATATTATACCTATGAAATAACTTCCTACTTTCACACCTAACATAATATAATATTTTGTTTTGTTTAATACTCTCGAGAACACTCAAGAGCGTCATTCAAATACAACAGCATACAAGGATAGGCCAGGACTTTTTAAACACGTACTAACAGAGTTTACAAGGCACGTCGTTATGAGAGCAGGCTATGTAAAATATTATGTAGCCATGTAGGTATACCATATTATTATGTTCTGATAACCAGAAGATAACAACAACTATATGTATATAGGTAATGCATTTCAGCTGATTATAAACTATAAAAGAAAGTAGTAGGCATCTAATGGCGATGACGAAGATAATAATTATATCATCAAAAATTAAAAAATGCTTCTTCTATGTATTCAAAGTTATTAAGCCCAGGAGACAAAGTGCGTATGAAACAGTGAGAGCCCATGATATAATATCATATTTATAATGTAAAAAAATAAAAATATTTACTATTATTAACTCAAATAGCAATTGCAAAAGTGATCTGGAATTTTAAGATTGTTTACATAATTATTGTGTTTCAATTTTAATTGTAGTGCCTTTTTTTACAAAGTAAGAATTTTAAACATTGATAATAGCGTAACCAAAATAAGTAAGATATAAGATTCATTATAATTTATAACTCACGTAATACTAAGGGAGCAACTCAAGTTTATCCATAAAAGTCATAATAAAACCATAAGTTTATTTATTTATTTTTTAATTAAATAGGATTAAAATTAATTGACCTATTCTACACCATTTTACGAATATGACGAATTTTCAGCCTGTTCAAAAATTATAATTCAGTATCACCAATATTTTAAACTATACAATTTTGATTGAAATAACATTGATGATCAAAATTATTAACTTCGAGATATCATAATAAAATCAAACATAACATTTTTCAAACAACTTTTTAATCACTTAAAACTATTTATCGTCTTATTTATAAATGTAATTTTTTTCTTAAAAAAACCTAAGCACTTGATCGTAACGAAATTTATTTTTACATCGTTTACTTTATTTATTTTCTATTATTATTATTATTGTTGTTATGATTATTATATACGTATAAAATGAAATTGAAAAACGGGAACACAGTCTAAAATGTGTTTTCTTGAAAAATTCACACATCGTTCTAAAGCCAATTACTCCTTCATTCCACATAGAATTCTGAAAATTTAAAAAATAAAACTACACGAAACACAAACAAAATAATATATTTCAATATATAGTGTCTATACAAACTGAATGAGTCCATTTTGTATACATCGATTTTTGAACAATAGCAATCTAGATCGTGGGAAGTGTTCATTGTTTTGAAACACTGGAAAATAATGTTGATATTATATTCTTGAATAAAAAAAATAAATAGTAACACGGCATGTATCATTAAATGATTAATACTAATTGTGTACAAAGTACTTTACAGTATTATAAAAAAAACTATTTTATTTACGAAATTTAAAATATATTTGAATATAAATATGAGTTGGTATACTTAATAGCCCAAATTAGGAATATGTTACCTTTGTGTCACACTATATTATAAATGTATTCGTAAAAATTAAACGATCAAATAGTATATTATGTAATTAGCTTAAGAAATCCCCATCAAACTCCAAAATAGTATTACATTTAAAAACCATTTTCTTTAAATTTATTTTTGTGTAAATTGAAATCACTTTTAGATACAATAATATATCAAATTAGAGCATAAAGCGTTTACCCTCGACTAGATACACGATGATATAATAGTTTCAAACACTTAATTTCAAATTTAGAACGAAAATTATATTAGAACTGGTACCTGCCTATAATAATATTAACATATTATAATGTGGAAACTGCAGTGGTCGTTATGCATTCGTTGCAATAGTGTGACGGAACTACTGAAATCCACTTTGTTCTACAAAGCATGATTTTGTCGGAAATTCTACTGGTCGTGTTGTAAGTTTCGCGAAAACTACACTGAGAAATTTCGCAAATGACTTAAATGTAGCGCATGTGTACAATTTCTAATAGAGTGGTTATATGAAACTTTTGAATCGGTGTTTCAAACGAAAACCGAGTTCACAGACGAAACAAACAAAATTCATATCGCTACAGCATGTAAACCATCAATAGCTTCCACAGACCAATACATATTATGCAATTATTATTACATTGTAATTTTAAATTTTAAACAAAATTATTTTTTCATTAAAACTGTATCATATTTTATACAATATAAATTGTCAAGTTCCCAAATCTTTCAACATCGATAATAATATAATCTGTATTGGACTTCTTTAACAACGACAAAAAACGGCAAAACATTTTAATTGCTTAACCACAAAATGCGGTTTAAACACGACGACTTATGAACCCGTATCGTAATTCTATATATATAAATGGACTGTTATATAAACTCATTCTATACGCAGATCGACTGATATCAGCTGCGTGTGTTGGTAGTAGACAAATCAAAAAACAAAAAATCAATCTTTTTTAACTGTTTACGAAATTCTCCGAAATGATGTCCAATCGAATCGTAAAATAAACCTTCAAGCATTTCGGTTGTAGGGAACTTGTTGTGCGTGCATGTATAGTTGAAAATCCTTTGAAATCTCACAGATTGAGCTAATATATTTTAGTGCAAATAAATTGGTGAGCCGAGAAATAAATCCGAAAGAAAAAACCCTAGATGTTACTGCACAACAAAACGTTTTGGGGTGGAAAGTTTTTAGTGTAACGCGCAATATAGCTTAACCGTATATTATATTGTTGGCCATTCGATATACATAACCACGAATAAATTATGAAATACGCTCGGGGCGTAAACGTTTAGGTGCACCTCAAAACTTCAGTATAAAATAAATGTTTATAAACCGTATCTACATCCAGTATACGCGTATTATACCTTACGAATAACATTATATTATATTATAATGTATAGCGGCCACCGATAAATCCACCGTCACCGCAATGATCGATAGACGATATTATTATTATTATGCCCGAAATAATAATAAATTATAATGTTTCGACGTTCATAATAATAATATGCTATATATACATAATAATTTGACCAGAACTTACTGAGTGTTACGATATTATTATATTAAATAGGTATACGAACTAACTCGTAAGTCCACTCGGATTATGCGTTTTATTTATTATTTTTTTTTTGCGCGCTTATATATTAATTTTTGTGTTGCAGAGCTCACAGTAAAAATGGAAACCGAATGCCCCAACAGCAAAGGCATCCGTCTTGCTTAACTGCACACACGTCCTAATCAACTACAGCACTGTGAAATATATATAAAAAAAATGTTTATATATATATTATATATATATAGGTATATATCGGCAAGCAACACGTACAGACATCGACGAGGATAATGTATGGTTTGCAAGAGAATTCGTCAATTTATTTAATTTTTTTTCCCCAGCAGAGCCGCCCACACACGTACACCGCACACACACACACACACACACACACACATACACACACACACACACACCTACACTCGCACACACACATGTGCGGGTATAAACCACCTATCACACACACACAAACACGTCATGCTTACGTTATTTTAATATTTTATTATCCATCCATTTGTACTATCACCTACCTATTGTGTTATTATTGTAATTCTTCATCAAATTCATTATAATATTATAGTAATATCTCGTGTACATGAGGATCGTACCTACGTATATATAATAGTAATAATAATAAATAATAATATATAAAATAATTATTATAACTGTAACGACGTATTTTATTAAAACCACAATACCATCGTATACTGTACGCCATGTACGATTATTATAATAAGATAATATAATATGAATTGTAATAATTACCATTTAATTAACACTATGACCGTCGCTATTGTTATTCTTTTTATAATTATTGTTTTTTGTTAATATACAATTCCACGGAAAGTATTTTAGAATATACCTATACGTCTGAATAAACGAGTACCTACCTATACGTACCATGATAATAATTACCAACATCGTCAATATTGTTATCGTGGTCGCTGTCAGCTTGAGGTGTGCAGCTCGTCGTATTACAAGTCGGTTTGCATCCTTAACATTTATAATTTTGTTTATATGTGAAAAAAAAATTATGATATAAAAATATTAAGGTTAGTAAATAATAATATATGTATAGGTAGTTAAGTATCTAGAATCACTAGTGGTGGGGTCTCGGCTCTCGGCCTCAGAAATTTACCATAATATAGTTTACCGATAACATTACTGCGGTGCCGCGTCACCTAATATTTGATCAAAATAAAGTCGATAAAACAATCGAAAAAGGCAATCTTTGAATCGTTGAATTTCGTCTCTCGTATCGTGAAGAAAACCATCAAAATGTCCATGATTTATCATGATTGCGGAAATATACCATTTGTATACTAGCAATAAAAGTAGTAGACAACTCCATTTTCGATTTCAACAAGGCCTAAACATATTCAATGGCTTTCATATGCGCAACACAACTTTTGGATTAATAAAGTTTTCTCGTTCCGCTATGGTACCCTTTGCCATGATTTAACACCTAGTTACACGTTAGTACAGTTACAGTTAGCTATATATGTATAGATGACTTTATGTACGTTCAATTTCTCCTGTAAAGCTCGATATTAGTTTTTATCAAACGAAAAAACTACTCCCAAGTCGACAGCACGAGGCGAACACCAAAGACCGTCGAATACAGCAACCATAATAATTTCCCATTATGCTCAAGTGGCTTTTATCGGAACCATCGTTTTCTACTCTCGGCAGTCCAGTCGCAAGCGTCTTACGTCTTTTCGTTATACTCCTTTTAGTAAAACCGTCGGTCACAAAATCTCGACATAAATTAAGCCAACGCACAGTACACCTACCTATGTTCGTGTACGGCCTACTCCATCCTCTGAGTAAACTTGTTTGGGATGAGGTGACTCCAATAATGGCGTACGGCTGTTGAACTGATTGACATAGTAGATCACAGTTAGCAGCTAATCAGTTTAGATTGCTGGCAAACTCCGTTGATAACAGTATAATATATATCGTGAAACAATGAAATAATATAGATAACTAAATACAGGGTGGGCCACGGGAATAGGGACAAAAGTTGACGGGTTTTTCTCAACGTTGAATGTGAGTGAACGACACTCCATTGATCCATAGTGTCAACAGAACGGCATTATCTGACGGATAAAATGAGCTAAACTAGAACTTCCTACTCACATTCAACGTTGAGAAAAACCCGTCTACTTTTGTCCCTATTCCCGTGGCCCACCCTGTATATGTAAGTACAGATGTTTCGAAGGAGTAAAACGAAGAAATGGTCGTGCTCTAGACAACGACGACGACGCAGCGAACACAAAATCATTGAGGTGTACATGATACGTTGTCCTGGACGGGCTTAAGATATTTAAAAAAGTATCAACAATGCATTTATTTTTTACCGATAAACACGAGATACAAAATACATACAGTGTTTAGTAAAAATAAAATAAGATCATAAATCGAATGATGTGTTTAACGTAAGACGGTAAAACGTTTATTATTTCAAAAACTATCGACATTTTGGAAATTTTTTTTTTTTTTTTTAAATACCTACATATTTTATATGCTATTATTTATCGTTATACTTTGTTCATTGTATTATTTTTAAAATATGCATTTTTATTTCTTAATTACAAAGCAAAATATTTTTTGATACTTTTTGTACTTCGATGTGGCATATTATAATGAATGCCTTATCAAGACATTTTTTTCTGAGGGGGTCCAAAACATGTATATTGTAATTTTATTGAATTTAGGTTTTGATGTTTGGTTAAAAATAAGATATTGAAAACACTAAGGGGGGGGGCCAGACCCCTGGACTTAGATATGGCCTTGATTATAATAGTGGCATTTTGGACGATTGTTTTATGAGATATAAGTATTAAAATTTAAAAATTTAGATGAGTTATGTGGAGTTGTACAGTGGTAACCCGCAAAATGTTGGTGCACTACTTCGCTCATCAAAACTTTAAATACTTATAACTTAACTAATAAATTACTTGTCGGAAAGATCGATTTTTATAGATCAGAATACACCGAATAATATTATGCTTCGGAATTTGAAATTACAAATGTATGATGTCTATCAAAACAGTAAAATACTTGAAAATGATAAACATAAAAAATATAAAAAATGTGGTTTTGTAACGACTTATGGGTACCTCCTAACTATTTAAATGAAATATTTTCCAAAACGTTTTTTTAAAAAAAAAATTTATCTTACAGATACGACTTATGGATCACTATTTTTAATTTTCTTACATTTTTATAATATAATATAAAATACTAAAATATATACTAGATACATACTACTGTATCTAATATTATACGAATTCGATTTTTGTAAATAATTATTAATTACCAGTTACATATTATATATCTACTTAGGTAACAACAAGTAAAATTGCTGAAATGTAAAATACTTCCATGTTATTTATTTAACTTTATATAATATAGTTAAGTACTAGTTATATTATTATAAACGTCGGGGGGTAGTAATACGGAACCCAAATTTAAAATTACTGTAACGCAATTACTTTTGCAATGACGCTGTAGTAATTGCATTATATTTTATTTAAATTAACGCAATTGTAACGAAATTACTTTTTAAAAGTTATATCTATGGGGTAACGTGTTATTGTCCACATTATTAAAGTAATGTATGAATGTAGAATGTATGACAAAATCAATTGGCAAAAATATTCGAGTAAAATTAAAAATTAATTAAACTATTTTACGATTCTAAAACTTGAAAGTTTTAGATAATATTGTTAAAGACCCCGGGAACTAATACTATAATACATTTGGTTTATGTGCCTATAACATTTAGTCATTAACAATATCAATATCAAATATCAATGTTATATTGTTATGTACACTTATACAGTTAAACCTATATCATACTGATATACAATTTGTGTAATAGTTTAACATTATATCGCATTAGTCTAACTTATTAGTAGTTATTATGGACTGTTTTTTAATACATTTTTAAAAAAAATACCATTGTTTGTAAAGCTCTATTTGTTGAATGAAACAATAACGTAACGTGATAAAAATAATGACGGGCAACTCGAATGTAATTTAAATAAAAATATTTAATGTAACGATAGTAACGTAATTTTACTACTTTTCAATAGTAACTTACCCAACATGACACAGTAATAAATAAATGGCTTACCAACATTATAACATAGTTTAATACAAAAAAACACTTACAATTGGTTTATTATGAGCTCTTTCATGACTATATTTTATGTCGTTGTCATTGTCGTCGGGATTATTGTGTTGCCCCCTACAAAGAGATGTTACACAATTATTGCAAGACGCTGTATATTTTTCATGGTTGAATCAGTTTACTACACAATATTACACTTGTTCGACTGTATACGTCTTATCAACTTGTTTATCATGTGGCGTCGGTCACAGGGCCGTTTTCACGACGTGTAGAATATTATAATATTGAGTGACGTGGATTGGGTGGGGATGGTAAGACTTAAAAATAATATAATTTGTTTCAATAATATGTCTTATCATTTATTATCAATTATAATATTATAAACAAACATTTAGAACAAAAAAAAGCTATCATGTTTTTTTCTAATCATTATTATTAGGTATTATTTTTTTTTAATGATTTTGTTGGGCATAACCAGCTATATCGGTAGTGGCTAGTGGTGAGTAATTGAGTACCTACTCAAGTTTAAAACCACAGCCATCCAAACTCGGACGTTGCCAAGCCTCTGTACGACGGAGTCCAAACGCATATACACACACTATAATGATAATATTTATTTCAGCTCACACAAGCATACTGCGTAACGCGTATTAAGCATCACATTGCCTATTCAAATCCCCTTAATAAATCACCCGCTTTCAATCCTCTTAAAATAACACTTTCGGCACGCCCTGTACGGTTTACAATATATTATAAAAACCAGGAACGAGATAAATGTATTTTTTATTTCAGCCATTAATTGTATTTAATAGAGAAGACGTACTATACCTACCTACTATTTGTACTTGCTATCAATACATAACAATAAAATATTAAAATACATTCGTACGTCAGAAATATAAAAACGTATAGTGATACATTATTTTATTAAAATATTTATATATTTATCACGACGTCATGATATTAATCAATGTTTAAAATCCTATTAAAATATTACATACATGTTATGAGAGCACAATTCGGTCAATACGAG